TGAAAATCTCTTTCTAACAGACAAAGCTTTTTTGAAAAATCTTCTATAGCGGGGGAGAAATGAATGGACAAAATCAACGCGCATTCCTTTCCGAACAACCTAATAGCTCACCTTTTCCAGCCTCTTGGGGTAGGGAATTGAAAATGGGATCGCGGCAGCAAAAAGAACAACAGAGGAAAAAAGAATGGTAGAAAAACATCGCCTCATCACTCGGCGATCAGCTGATTGTGTGTGGGTTCTAGAACGAATAATCGTTATCTGTATTGCCTCGGGGCTCGTCTGACGTAACATCGATCGAGAGGCGGAAAAGCAACTCAAGCAAGCAACAGGGATTCCATTATGTCCTGATCATCGAGATTTTGGGAGCGAGAGGGTCCCTTCTACCACCAATGAGGGTCACTGAGTATTCTTAAGGGAAGAACTCAGTAACCATTTCTATCGTGAACCGTGCCTTTTAAAAGAGGCTCCTATTGTGAACAGCTAAGGTAGTGAATACGAAGCGGATGTAGCTTTGCGAAGCTGTTAGTTCAGCTTTGGCACTGGGACTCCACGAGAGTCGCCGGACTTGCCAGTACTGGCCCACGAAGACTCCCACTTTACCGCCAGACCATACTCCAACATAATGCAGGAACTAGCGTCATTTCCATCTGTAAGAAAGCACAAGAATTTATGACCGAGCCGATTGTTCGGCCCCGTCATAAATTCTTGTGCTTTCTTACAGATGGGAACGACGACGCGGAGTCCTAGCCGCTCATGAGTACTCGTGTACTGTCCAGCTCGGTGGCAAGTTCCCTCTATGGATATCAATCGAATTTGACAGCGCCCCATAGACTGAGTCCGAATGATACTTAAAGTCAAGCAAGTTACTGCTTAAAAGTGGTGTTCAGCTTTCAGTCGGACACTGTTTCCAGATCGAGGTCGCCTACGGTTTTGCTGATTATTTGACACCGACTGTACGAGATCTTATGCAGTTGGATCTTTACGATGGAATCGATCCAAGTAACCTACAGATTAACCTCGTCAGGGCACCAAAATGTCGCGCACGCCTTTTGAATGTAATTCTAGATCAATATTTGATATTATTTTTTTAGTTGTTGCTAATTTTAAAGTCATGGCTCGGGGCGAACAGAGGTCTGAGTTATTGGCATTACGATGGATCTAGAGTATTAAAAACTCTACAATGGAGTGGAAAAGGGTGGACTACCAAAAAGAATCAAAGTGTAGTATCGTACTCATTTACGCGTAATCTTCAATTCTTTGACTACCTGACAGTCGAAACTTTGATTGGTGATGAAGAGCAACCGTCCAAGACTTCTAAGATTAAGTGTCGGCATCGGTACATACTGCGTACCAGTTGCCTTGCCCTGTTTATGCCAAGCTCCCCTCCTTTTGGGTCCCTTCGTATTCGGGAAAGCATCATGTGTTCCAAAAGGGAGTGGCAGGTTCGCCGATCGGGACCATACACTGTTTTCCATGTGATATGGCATTCGTTTTCTACCACAACATAATAGACATGAAACCTATGGAGTAGCCATTGTTGCACTGATTTCGTGGATGGATTCTTTCCCTTCCGGTAATTCTTAATACAGCTGGTATTCACCGTAAAGAATCAGACGCAATAAATCAAAAACTCAAGCTGAAAAAGACATTGTACTTCAGAGTTTAACTTGGCATTAAGGATCTCGGCAGTACGAATATTAGGACAGGGCAAGAAGCAAGATTTCAATGTTTATCAATTAAGGATTGCGAATGTCTACAAGTAAAACGAGAGAAAAAGAAAAAACCAAAGAAGAAGACATAAACATTAAACTTTTAATTACCACTTTTTGAAGCAATTATGATCACACCGATCGAACATTTTATGAATGACTCTCAGTTCCTCTGATTCCACAATATTTCAAAAAACACGTAGTGGAATAGATAGTTTGAAAGGGGCTCTGCGACTTTTCAAACTGAAACATAATTGGTGGAAAATAAGGGGTGGTTATACGCGGAGCATTTCGTTATGGAAAGGTGGGTTAGGGTTCTGTAAGGAACATACACACTATGGAGGAGTTGACTGGGGCAATAGCTTTTGCTTGTCATCGCAAAAGGAAGATAGGGTCTAGTAAGTAACTTAAGTAGGCATGTGTACTTTTTTGAAGATACGCCAGCTCCAAGGGACGTGCTGAAGAATGCTGCAATGGCTGATTGATGTTCAATCGGAGATGAACAATTAGGATTGAAAGGAATGCATACATGGGAAATTCGTTGATATGATACAAAGGCTCTCACTCTTACCCATCAGAGTGCTGAGTTATGGGGAAAACGTTTAGTCTCAGACGGAGCTCGTACTTGAACTCATGCTCCATGCATAATACCCTTGGAGGCACTTTCTGCGATTCGATTTTTTGAAAAGTTTCTCATAGGTAGGAACCTATGGCTCACGTAAAATTCCCAATCAGATAAGAATAAGAGCTCAAAAATCGGTCTTCGTACCCGCTGTCTTTCAGTACTTCTGAGAGAGGAACGTCTTTAACGGTGTTTTAATGTCTGATACTTAACATGGAATATGCTTGTTGTAAATGCAGTCAGCTGATGCACTCTAGTAACCAATACACGTTGCTCTTCAGCGACTGGAATCTCGTCCAAACAACCCTTTGTGACCATAACCTCGTGGGTCCGGGAACATTTCCCCGAAGACGGCGTCGCGCACGCCGCACCCGCCGCGTATCGCAGGATTGCGATGGAAGATTGGAGCGCGCAATTTAAGAGGTAGAGAGTCCTTTAATTATTTGGATTGGCTGACCGCTTTCTTCAATTTCAATGCAGTCTTGATCGCCGCATACATAGGAGGAGTCATTTTAATTAATCTAGCCTAATGAACATGAAGACGAAAAAGAAACAGAAGAAAAACGATCAAAATCAATAAACAAGGAAGGCAACCAACGAAAAATATTGCGTCATATCGATTGGCGGGGGGCGGCGTGAGTACGGTAATTGCAGTGACATTTGCCGCATGCCGCAAGGGAGAATGCCGCAATCGGGAAAAGTTCCGTTACCCTAACCTCGTCCAGCACTAGAAATGATTCAATCACAGAACGTCGCTTATTTCGGAATTTTGCGGAAGTTTTTGCTTTCCTCGCCACGGTGAATTAATTTTTATCAAAATTCTCGTCCCGCAACCCAATAAAGTTACACCAATGTTCGCGAACTGTGCCTTCATCTGCACTGAATGCAGCGAAAACTAGTAAAACAGAGAAAATTAAAGGGCCCTGTAGGATCAGAGCGCGCGATTTATCCCGAATCGTTGTTCCATAGGTCCGAGTTGACGGAAGTAAAAAAAAATCCGACATCAGTTTCTGGTTTGTATGCATAAATCCACAAATTTCAACACTTTATTATAATACGATCGGATTCAAAAAGGCCAACATGGAATTCTCAAGAATATACGATTTAAAAAAACGGGAAGCTCTAATTGGTACAGTAATTTTCACATATGTAGAAATACAGTCGATGGCAACATTACACGGGAAAATGAGTTATTAAGTAGAGCTTCTCATGAAACAATACCATATAGCGTGTATAATTGCAGGTATTACGAAAAGGAAAAGCAGGATGATATTGACGAGAACCGCACAGGAACATGCTTTGTCATGGAACCAAATGGCCAACGGCTGAATGAAAATGGTTAAACAAACAATGGTTAAACATTGACGACGATCAAGCTTGGTCAGTATTTTTTTCAAAAATTGGTCTATTTTTTTCCAAATCAACAGTTGTTCGGCAGTCACAGAATACTTTTAATTTGTGGGGGACATTTTCTGCTTCCTGGTAGGCTTCCAGAATGTTTCCTAATTTATGCTTACGAAGTTCTATCGGTTCATGTCCGAAGTACCTGCCATCTAATTCTCTGTGCGTGATAGCTTTTTTTTTGAGATTTTCAGTCTTCTCTTTTCTTTACTACTCTTTACTAGTAAATGTAATTCAAGCTTAATAGTTATAGCTTACCGGTAGGAATATGATAAGTATTATTTCGATTATTTTATCACTATCGGTTGACATTCCTAAAAATAGAAAGTTACGATGAGATATTAGCCAGAGAAAAATATAGTGAGCGATTGGGAAAAGCGGCCCAATAACATAGCAAAAGCATAGCAACAAAAGCTCCTTAGATTTGGGAAATTCTGACCTGGGTGCTATGGATACACCACACATCGCCTCTAAAGCCTCTGAATGTTTCATGAGCACTTCCAAGACGTTGGTTTTATTCTTTAATCGAATTGCGTAGTGCAGTGAGTTCTGGAAGGACCAGCAAAACAGCCAAGACTACCTGGCATGTAGAAAATATGAGTCCAATACCCAAGAAGTACTGTGAGTCAGGGTTTATCTCTGTCAATTGATTGCGTCAACGGTGACTTAGGCGAGATATGTGTATGGGGAAATTTCCCCTGAATCGAATTTTTATGATGCTCATCCCACTGCGACAGACAACAACCTGAAGAGCCTATGAAGAAAAATTCGGATATAAAAGGGTGGATTATCCTTGGGATAGGTTTTTCGCTACCAAAGGTTTNGCCGGCAACCATGGCTTTTGTGCTTTCCCCTGTTGAGCGCTCTCCGGAGACCACCTCCGTAACTTCGTTCAGAGAATCGTTTGGCAGATTTTGAATGCAGATTTGAAATCAGCATAAAGCATAAGTTTAGCAGTATAGGTCTCATTTCAAATGGCCACTTCGACTTAGGATCCTTCCCTTGTAAGTCAACAGATTCTGCTGAGGTACGCGGAGGAAAACGTTTGTTTCGGGAAACGTTTGTTGCAATGCCAAATCGACTATTTGAAGGATGGCCATGCCTGTACAAATATAAACGAAATCTATGTATGTTTGCAGCTTCCAAGTAGCAACGTTTTTGCCGATCACGAAAAAATAAGGATAAAATTCCCAATAGTAAGTAAGGCTCAGGATGTTCTTTTTGAGGTCACCTAGGTGTAATCAATCTATCAGTGCAAGTTTATTGTGATGGTTACCCACCCAGACTGTTTGACCTTTCCTTGTGAGCTCATTCGATCGA